GATCGCCTGTCAGTGGAGGCTTGCGTTGCTGTGATGCTAAAACGGGTTTCAGTGGAGCTTTCAGACTAAGACAGACTAGGAAGAAAGGCCTGGTGATCTACTTTCAAAAATTAGCCAATGAAAACTCTGTGGATTGCAACTGTCTGATCCCATGGTGCATGGGGTGCCCACAAGTCGGGAGCTGACTCAGTGGAAGCTAACAACAACAGCTATGTGCCAGACACTAGTCAATCTAAGACTTAATAGGAAACGTTGAACGTGAGTTACCAAGGCTAATAGAAACGGCAGGAAGAGTCTTTTCCTTTCTGGAAAAAGCCTTTTGTGCCTTTTTAACCAGGCCTATCCTAACTTCAGGAGCCCTGGTGGTACAATGCTTAAGTTCTTAGCTGCTAACCTAAAGGCCAAAAGTTTGAACCTACGAGTGGCACCATGGGAGAAAAAACCTGGCCATCTGCTCCCATAAGGATTGCAGCGTAGGAAACCCTATGAGGTAGTTCTGCTCTGCCTTATAGGGTCACTATGAGTCCAAATCCATATGACAGCACACGACAACATCCTACCTTCAAAGAAAGTCCTGCTATTAATTTTGTCCATAAATCTGCAAAGGAGATGTTATGAGCTGCACTCTGCAGGTGAGGGAACTGCAGCTCTGAGTAGTTGCAGTTGAAAGTGGTAGAGCCCAGATCTGTGCCTAGATGTGGACCCTTTTCCAGCACCTAGAGATCACTCACTCATCAGTAGGAAAGAGCATTCCTTTCTTTGTGCGAATCATTGAGATCCAGCCGTGGCCTGGTTAAAACAGAATTTAAGTGCAGGGACCTTGCAAGGCAGGACAGACTCTCCCTGTCCTTTCTATTAAGTGATGCTTTTCTGTCCTTCCAATTAGAAGGTCTCATTTAAAATCTGAAGATGAAGGTAAAGTGACTTTTCCTCAGTGGACAGGTTTGCACAAAGCATGTGATTATAGATTTCTCGTAATTAAGTCAGGCCATTTGATTCCTGGCCATAGACTCCCCACAGTCTCTGAAGCTGGATGTGTATGCAGATTAATTTCTAAGTATATCTTAAAGGATTTCTTCAGCTGCTGTGGCTGGCCTTGCCCCAGCACTCTCATATGATGGATGGGGATAGAGATGATACAGTGTCTGCAGTGATGGAGTTCCCAGGAGTGATTAATAGTGTATATACTAGGCTGTTTTGATGCCCTTCCTGATATTAGGTGGTATGTTCTTCCCCCTCGAACTACATGTTTTACCTAAAATGGACTCTTTCAGGGGCTGCCATTTGACTGCATGCTCCACATGCAAATTTTCCAGTCCTGGTCTGGGTGACCTTGATATGACCTCTGTGAGCCTCAGTTTATTCATCTGTAAAAATGGAGATGATGATTCCTACATCTCAGGGTTGGTGTCATTGGGAGCATTGACTGAGAAGCGACCGTGAAACTGTGACTTGCTGTACGGAGCACATGGAGGCATTTGGGATGTGTTGATACACTCATGAGAGAAAAACAAATGATAGGACTGCTTTCCTGCCTTTTTCTCCTGGGGCACTGCTGGCATTTTATGGTAAATAAGTGTGAAGTGCTATTATTATTGCTTATGGAGGTGGCTAATGGGCTGATCTCCTTGACTTCCCTGGAAAAACAGCCAGACCCATTACAGGAAGAATTGATTCTGGTCCAGTCCAAGATGTTGTCTTTGGGATCCTGAGGTATAGTAATGACCAACTGGGCTTCTTGTTTGTGTAGCCATGATGAAAAAGATAAACATTTGTCCTCGAATCATACTGGTCTTAAAGCAGTGCCCAGTAGCATCAGCTTTCCTAGTGGTTACGTGGTTCTCTTTTTGTCTTTGCAGGCTGTGACCCAGTTAGAACTTTTTGGGGACATGTCAACCCCTCCTGATATAACCTCTCCCCCTGTAAGTATGCACTGCCTTCTGAGCCCTGCCTCCCCTCCCTGTCTTTCCTTAGTCTGGTAGTGGAGAGAATACGGGTTTTGTGTTAAAGAAGCCAGCTAGTGAATTTTACCCCTTTTAGACTGTGCGACTTAGGCCAGGCAAATAGCAATCATGAGCCTCAGTTCTCCCTGCTATTGAAAAAAAACGGGGAGGAGGGGTGGGATTATGGTATAGACTTCTGTATTTTAAGAAATAAATGAGACCATGCATTCAGCAATTACTGAACATTTCCTGGGTGCTTAGTATTACTCTGGGCATTGGGGATAGAGGCATGAATGAGATGTGGCGCCTGCCTGCAAGGAGCACAGGGTCTAGGCGGGAATACAGGAGAGAAGTGCAACATGACAACAAACATGGTGAGGCATTTGTCAGCACCTACCCAGAGCCTGGCACGCACTAAGTAGGTAGACAGCCCAGTCAAGGAAGCATTTTCTCCCCTTCCCCTTTCTGGTCTTCTTACACCCTTCTTGCCTTCTTTTCTCTCCCCCAACCCCCACCCCTCTTTATTTCCTTCCTTCCTTCCAATATGCCTTTAGCCTCACAGACCATGACCTGGCCTCGCCAAGCTACTCTTGAACTTTGGATTCCCAGCCACAGTTGTAGCCGGGGCATCTCAGTCAATGTGTATAAGGGACAGAGATTGCAGGGAGCCCTAATTTGAAAAGAAAAGAAGAAAACAGAATCAAAACCAAAGCCAAATAGCATCCCAATGCTTTGAGAACTGAATGCATTCAAAGGCAACCGTGCAGCCTCTGTCAAGAAAAGAGCCGAGCTGGCCCCGCCAGCCCCTCCCTACCCGTTCCCGGAGGTGGGCGGAGAGCAGTCAGCAGCAGCTGCACCAGCTGAAGCTGTTGGGAGGGGGCAGCTCCTCTGGGCACTCACGATTGCACAAACAGAGGGATGGTGCTATGGTTCATTGGCGAGATGCGCCTCAAAGAGAAAAGGCTGTGTAACCTTACCACTCAGGACAGATGGCATGAGACCCTGCTGTCCACAGCTGCCGCTGGGGAATCCAGACACAGCTGCCCTGTTCCCAGCACCTGATGCCCAGCGCAGCCGTGAGGGACGGGACAGCAGCTTCTGTCCCCAGGGAAGCTGGACACTTCTAGCGAGTCTTATTCTCTCTTCCATCCCAGGATTAACAGCTTCATCCGAGGCGCTCGGAATCTAAGAAACGCAGGGGTAGAAAGCTGGGAAGATCTGAAAAGATCTTCTAACTTTATCCCCTTCATTTTACAGATGAGCAAACTGAGACCCAGAGAGGGCACGTGACTCACTCAAGGCCGCATAGGGGAAAAGAGAACAGCACTGACTTGTGTTTAAAAGTGCTTAACGCAGCAGCTTTTGGCTGTATTTCTGGCCCTGAACCCAAGTGCAGCTCAAATGGGTATTTAATAATCCTCAGAACAATGCCATTCGTCCCACAAGCTGCTAGTCTAAAAACGGCCTTGTCTAATTGCCATAGTTTCAGGATTAATTGCTTGCCCCAGTCTATTCCAAGGGAAAAAAACATAAGGATATTTATGGCATTGAACAAATTCATTCTCTGTAGGCAAAAGGTTGCTGTAAATGGGTGTAGACATTTAAAAAACAAATTAGTACTGATGTTTTTACTTCAGTACCTCTCACGCTAACCACCAGTTCATGCAGGGAACCTTTCTGGAATTCCAACACAAGCCAGGAACTATAGAGTTTACAACTGCTTAGGCATCACTTTTTGTTGTCTTCTTGAAAATATTTAGTTCATTTTGCAAGTGAAAATTCTAGCAGAATTCTGGGAGGCTCCAAGATACAAGTGCCTGTACTCCAGTTACTAAGCATAGTTTGTTCATTTATTCAGCATCTGTTTATTGATTGTAGTTTGAGTGGCAAGCCCTGGGCAGGGCGCATAGTAGGTCCTCAGTGAGTATATGCCAGTTTGAATTGACCACCTCTAAAAGGTGAAAGCCGGATAGTATGGAATCATTTGATGACCTGAATACACTCTCCAAGAGGTAGTGACTTAAACTGAATAGCCATGATCCTGGCCATGGTTTACCGAGCACCTATTGTGTGCCTAAACATGGTGCTACATGCTTTTAATGCATGATCTCATTTAACCATCATAGCAGATCTAGAATAGGTATCATTTTCCCCATTTTGTAGATAAAGTTTATGTAACTTACCCAAGATCTAAATACTGTATAGGTGGCCTGGACTGTGGCCCATTTCTTCAGCGCCTTTTCCCCCCCTTAATCGCTGCACCTGCTGTCTCCCGCCCTTGCTGACTGCTGAGCCAGGTTTTCTCATGTGCCCTTTGACTCTCTCTGTCTGACAGACTCCTGCAACTCCAGGTGATGCCTTTATCCCGTCTTCATCTCAGACACTTCCGGCGAGTGCGGACATGTTTGGTTCTGTACCTTTCGGCACTGCTGCTGTACCCTCAGGTAAGCCCTCTTCAGCCAACTTCCCTTTCTTTGGCCTCTGCTCATCAGGAGGGAGGAATGGTTGACTGAACGTGCTGCCAGAGCATGCCAAAACACCTAGGGAACCTCCCTTCTCTCCTTCTGACTCTTGACGTGACACCGAGAAGCTTTTCTTAGGGTACAGACCTCTGGTATGTTGCTGGCTGGAATGCAGCCCTCACCTGGGTGTTTCAAGATTTCAGGCTACTCAGGTGTATAACTTTTGGGAGCTTGGCACACGCACAGCCTGCCTGCAAATCTGCACAAGTCCATTTCCTCCTTCCACCTCAGCCAGAAGGGGAAGGCCGCAAGCTGAGACAAGGATGGGAGTCAGCTCTCCACAGACCTCTTGAGACCTAATGGCTAGAAGACGCCTGCCTTATTGGGTGTTGGCTCAAGAGTGAGAGGTTCCCCATACAAGGGGGAGACCTAAGGAATGAGAGTGAACCACTAACAGTGGGTTGTGAGGGGGATAGGGATGCATGGTGGTTTACAAAACGTTTGTTCTGTTTTGCACATATTTTTTGAAACATATCTACTACTTGTACAACAGGAGAAAATATACGTATTACAGCAGTATTTCAGGTGAGTTAGAAATTGGTAGAATACCAGGCATCTTAACTTGTTTCCAAGGCAGTAAGCCCTCCATGTAGCTGGGTCACTCTCAGCTTGAAAATGACCAAAGGTGGCATTAAACCAAAAACCAAACCCATTTCTGTCAAGTCGATTTCGACTCATAGCAACCCCATGTGTTACAGAGTAGAACTGCTCCCGAGGTTTTTCTGGTCTATAATCT